TCTCATTCAATAATTGAATGCTTTAAATTTCTAAGTAAGAAATTAGAGCATATGATAATCATTTAACCAAGAATTCAAGTGAAAAAAAAATACATGAGAGGGATAGAGAGAGACCCACGGAAACAAACAAACCGTTCCACATTTTGGTATTCAAATGTATCATAATTATAGATAGTCATAGACCCCTCTAAGGTGATGCACATGGCTAAATTTGGGCTAGATTGTGCTATCCACCAATGACCACCTTACACACAACTTGTAGACAATATGGTCCACTTCAACATTATTTTCCCTATTTGCTACCTGCCTACCTCCAACATTCATGGTATACTTCTAAATTTTTAAATAAAATGTCTACTTAGTTCGAAAATGAATAATTGCAATTGGGATTCTTAGCCTTTGCAAAAAATACAAATGAGTTATGAACCTGTATATTTTGCACTTAGCTTTGAATAATGTTAAGGAAATCGTCAAAAAATGTTAATTATGACTTTGTGCAGACATGTTTAACTTTCATAGGAGTAAATGAATATGTACATAATTATAAGTGGTAATTGGGTCAAATAGGCTGTTTCATAATATAAATTGGAATTTTAGCCTTTGACCAGAATTATATTTTGAAAATAAATATTTTAAATCATAATTTTTAAACTACCTAATCTACCCTTATTCAACAACACGTAGGTTCCCATTTTCTCACATCAATTGAATCCCCAAAACCCTATCTTCTCTCTTTCCCCAAATCGTTCATATCTGCATTTCTTTCCCCCAATCAGTTCCTCACCATTCCTCTTTGCATTTCTTTCCTCAAACTGTTCGTCTCTGCATTCGGTTGCCTTGGTCATGGCCGTCCGATTGGTCTCTGCATTTCTTTCCCCAAACCAAGTCTCTGTCAACTCACTGTATTGCAAGTACAATGATGCCATCAAGCTTCAAAATTCGTTAACGGGAAGACTTGAACGAGGAAGATGGAGAAAAGGGGTTGGGGACCGCGTCAACGCGTGGTCACAATGGAGCGAGAGGGGGATTTTTTTACGATGGCTAAATTAGAAAAATGGCACTCATACGATTAAAACGTACATGCGCCATGTTAGGTATCCAAAATAGCAATCAGCTGAATCAGTAGAACTGAACACTAAATTCGTAGTAACGTCAACTCTGCGTTTAAAACGGCAACATGCCGTTTTGGGTCAAAAGGTCTCGACTTGTGGGGGCTGAATGAATGAAAGTGATGCGAATTGAACACTGAATTAGAAACATGGCAGTCATACGATTAAAATGTTCATGCGCCATTTTAGGTATCCAAAACAGCAATTAATGGAACTGAACACTAAATTTGTAGAAACGTCAGCTATGCGTTTAAAATGGTAACATGCTGTTTTGGGTCACAGGGTCTTGACTTGTGGGGGTTGAATGAACGAAAGTGATGCGAATTGAACATTGAATTAGAAAAATGGCAGTCATACGATTAAAACGTTCATGTGCCATTTCAGGTATCCAAAACAGCAATAAGCTGAATCAGTAGAACTGAACACTAAATGCGTAGAAACATCACTATGCGTTTAAAAAGATGACACGTCGTTTCACCGTCCAAATACCTTTTAAACCCTAAACCATATACCCTAAACCCTAAACGGCGACCCTCCGTTTAAAATGATCAGGTGCCATTTGGGGTCACGCGATATCTATTTCACTCCGAAACTAGTAAAACAATGTTTGAAACATCATACATGACTCGTACACATTGAATGACTACACGTTATGGGGTATCGATTCACTCCAAAATCAGTGAAGCTNATCGATTCACTCCAAAATCAGTGAAGCTTTGAACCATCATACATGACTGGTACACATTGACCAAGTGTAGGGTAGTTTTCAAATCCAGTCATGGGCTGATCAAATGTGTGGACCTTAACATCAAAAAGTAGTTAAAACCTTCATCCGACCACTTTTATATGGTTACGAGCGCAAATGAAACGAAACAAACGCTGAATGAGCTGAAATGTCAATTGGAAGTTTAAAACGACCAGATGCCATTTTGGGTCACGGGGTATCAATTTCACTCCGGAACTAGTAAAAGAGTATTCGAAAACATCATGCATGATTCGCTATCATTGGACGGACTGCAGGCGCCATGCTTTAGATACCATACTTGCTACTTACGTTTTTCTTTTATTGCTTAGTGTAGGGTAGTTTCCAAGACTGACCATGAACTGATCAAATGCGTGGACAAGTAGTTAAAATCATCAACCGGGCACTTTTATGTTGTTACGCGTGTGAATGAAACGAAATGAAGCTAAACGAGCATAAACGTCATCTGTACGTTTAAAACGACCAGTTGCCATTTCGGGTCACAGGATATCGATTTCACTCCGGAAATAGTAAAACAGTATTCGGAACATCATTCATGACTCACTATCATTGGACGGACTGCAAGCGCCATGCTTTAGATACCATACTTGTTACTTACGTTTTTCTTTTGTTGTCAAGTGTCGGGTAGTTTCCAAGCCCGACAATGGACTGATCAAATATGTGGAAAAGTAGCTAAAACCATCAGTTGGACACTTTTACGTTGTTACGGGCACGAATGAACCGAAACGAACGCTGAATGAGCATAAACATCATCTGTATGTTTAAAACGACTAATTGTCGTTTTGGGTCACGGGGTCTTGATTTCAACCATGGTCCTTCATCTATACACAATTAATTTGAATGAATGGATACACACTCTAAATTAGAAAAAAACGTCAGCCATACGATTCAAACGACCAGATGACGTTTTAGTCTGAACAAAGTACTGGTGTCATTGTTACCAAAAACTTAGATCAAAATAGCTATAAGAATTTAACTAAAACAATCACAATCTAATTTTAAAAATTCATACAATCATAATAGACGTGAAGGTTCAGAAATGAACACGAATTGAGTAAATGAACCGAAACGAACGCTGAATGAGCATAAACATCATCTGTATGTTTAAAACGACTAATTGTCGTTTTGGGTCACGGGGTCTTGATTTCAACCATGGTCCTTCATCTATACACAACTAATTTGAATGAATGGATACACACTCTAAATTAGAAAAAAACGTCAGCCATACGATTTAAACGACCAGATGACGTTTTAGTCTGAACAAAGTACTGGTGTCATTGTTACCAAAAACTTAGATCAAAATAGCTATAAGAATTTAACTAAAACCATCACAATCTAAAACTCATGTTCAACAATTTTAAACATTCATACATCCATAAAAAACGTGAAGGAACATAAATGAGCACGAAATGAGTACAAACGCTAGTCATACGTTTAAAATGAGCATCTGTCATTTTAATCTGAACAAACAATGTTGCTGTCATAGTTAAATTCGTTTAGACCGAAACATATATCAGAATTTATCAAAACTATCACAATCTAGTAAAAACAATCATAGTTGATCATCAACATAATCATTTTCCACAAGGGTTACACAAATTGGAACTTGGTTGTGCAAATAGAGAAACCAACTAACATCTCTATCACAATTAATCTTCATTGGTGGAACTGATAACTTTGCTATGCCAGCTACAAGAAATTTCATCGCGATGTCATACATGACAAAATCAACCTTAACCGCTTGTCTGACTTCCTCATATAACTCCATATAGGAAATATTTTTTGATTCAAAAATATTTGTTGCAGTGTCTTGATCATTCCCTATCCATTTCCACATTGATCACTTTTTTCAGATTCAACAAAATAACAAATGGCACCAGAGTCCATATCTGCAATTCACCAAAAAATATGTAATATATTATTCTATTAATTATCAAAACTGAATACTTTAAAATAGAGCTTCAATAATAAGCAAAAGACAACAAATATTGTTACATAACAGGTTTATCTAAAAAATGGCATTCTGTAGTTTCAAACGTGTATTTACCATTTAAATTTCTTTCAAATAATATAATGCTATAAAAGAATTCAGGAACAACTACTTTGCAAACAACTACATCAATAACACCATTATCAAATTACAACAGAACTCAGTTACAGAAAAACGGCACTCAACTACAGAAAAATGGTACCATTCCGTTTTTATATTTCACAGCAAATGTTGCTTACCCAATCGATTTTTCATAAAATACAACAAGAAATTGTTAATTTTTAAATAATAAAGCATATCCTCGATTGTTTGAAATCGATTCTTGCTCACCCACTTCCAAAAATTGTTGTGTTTGATTTGTCCTTGGTTCAAATAAAAAATTTTCAGCGTAGAAAATGTATATAAAGAAGATGAAAGCTGAATTTGAAGGTGGTCTAATATGGCGCAAGTTTGGAAACGTTCTGTTGAAGACCGATTATGGGGATTGGGATTATGAGGGATTTATGTTTGGGGATATGGTAAATAAAACTTCAAAGTGGTCATTTTAATCATTTCAATTTAAGGGTGTTTAAGACTTTTAATGTAAAATTTAATAGACCAAAGGCTCTTGTAACAATAAGTATTGAGATTGACTATTTTTCCAAAAATTATTGTTGATTGGCCCTTTAAAGCAAATTCCCCTAATTATAATCAAAATAATTAAA